CAATTAAAAAAAAAAAAAAAAGAATTAGGGCCACCAAGGTGCTCTACCATGCCGTGTTTCCCAAAGTCACCTGGCTGAGGAACGCCATTAGTTACTTATCCACCTGAATCTCACAATGCACACTTTGGGAAACGCCAGCCTAGCAATGCTGACAGTCTTTCGCAGTTTTCATTCGCTGATTCTGCACTCTGAGTGGGTTCAGAAAGGTGCTAGTTGCAAATCTGGATCATGCTGATTGGATAGAATTTGACCAGAGGTGGCAGAACTGGTGTTCCGCCCTTCATTGTGGGAAGCCCCCTTCAGAACCTTCCCTACCAGCTCTTCCAGGATGCCCTACTTCTTCACCTCAACCTACCTACCCTCACTTGGCTGCACTTAGGGGTGAGCAGAACTCTCCCAGAAACATTACTTCCGGAGAGGCATAGTTCTAGGAGCGGCCTGCTGGACCGGGAAATTCATTTTTCCTGTGTTATATTACTTCAGGAAAGTGTTTTCTGGAGGCCTGACTTTGGGACAGCCTTTCTTGGCATGGGCAGGCTGCCGATGGCTTTTCCCTTCAGCTCTAGGCTGAGGGCCAGTTTCCTGCCCTTGAGGACTCAGTCAGGGCTCTCGGGGTTGGGGTGACCCTCATTCCCAGCAGATCTGGATGTCCCCACTGCTTAGCTACCTTCTGCCACAGGGTTGGAGGGGGGATGTCTGCCTACACTGCTCTCTGCCTGCCAGCTGAGCTGAATGCCATTAACAGTGTGCCTTCACCTGACCACCAAGTCTACAACCGAATCCCTGCAGGATGACAGTGCCTGACTGAGGTGGCCCCAGCACCCACCCAGAGTCTCTTTATTTTTTATTTTTATTTTTATTTTTTTTTGCAGTTTTGGCTGGGGCCGGGTTTGAACTCACCATGCCCAGAACATGGGGCCAGCACCCTACTCCTTTGAGCCACAGGTGCGCCCCCTCTTTATTTTTCAGACTTAAATCCATCTAACAGCCTGGCCTGCCTTTCTGCTAGGCATGTGGAAATGCTTCCTGTTTATGACTGCGTCTTGTGAACCCGCAATTCAGAGAGGTGAGGTTTCAGACCTGACTCCAGGGGCTGGGGTCCATTTTATCAAAGCCCTGCAACCCCCTTGTAAGGGCCCTGTGACTTGAAGGAGTGGTGGGGGGTGGGCTCTGGGCAGAAGGGGGTGAGTAGCTTGGGTTCCCGATGGGACAACGAAATTTGGCCTTGTTAAGAA